TCTTCCGTTATACAACCACTCAGACTTTGTGTGCTTACTACACACAGGACAAGCCAACCTTCCCTTAGTACTCCACCCTGATAAGTTGGCATAAGCTGGAAAATCGTTGATTGTCCACAATAAGGCTGCATGTAATTGAAAATTCTGTCTTTTAGATGAGTCAAAAGTAGTCACGCCTTCTTTCCATAAATCCTTGAGATCTTCAATCAATGGTTGCAAGTATACATCTATAGCATCTCCAGGACTTTCTGGACCAGGAATTAGCATTGATAGAATAAAATTGGAGGGCTTCATAATCATCCAAGGAGGCAGGTTGTATGGAACTAAAACCACTGGCCAGATACTATAGGGAGTTTTAGAATGTGCAAAGGGTTGGAAGCCGTCACTAGCTAAAGCAAGCCTCACATTCCGAGGGTCTGCTGAAAAAGATTGATGGAGGCCATCAAAGGATTTCCATGCTAAGGAATCACTAGGATGTCTCATAACTTCATCACCACTCTTGTTTTCATGATGCCAAGTCATTAGAGAAGCTATCTTTGTTGACAAATATAACCGTTGAAGTCTTGGTTTTAGTGGGAAATAACGTAAAGTCTTCTTTGGCAGTTTCTTCCCATTGGCTTTAGTCATGACTTCCCCACTACGTTTGTCAACCTTCCATCTAGACGCATGGCATACCTTGCAATCGTCAAGTTGTGCATCATTCTTCCAGAACAACATGCAACTATGCTCACAAACATCAATTTTTGTGTATGAAAGACCAAGATCCTGTATGATCTTTTTTGATTCATAATATGAGTCTGGCAAAGATGAACCCTCTGGTAATAGGTCCTCTTTCAAAAGCTTCAGTAGCATGTTAAATGACTCATTACTCCATCTTCCAAGAGACTTTATGTGAAGAAGTTTGACTATGGTTGATAGCTTTGAACTCTTACAACCCTCATAAACCGGTTGCTCAGAGTCATTTAACAATCTATAAAACTTATCTGCTTCATCATTTGGCCTTTCACTGTATTCTTCCTGAACATCCATTGCAATTTCTTCTTCGCCAAGGTCAATGTTAGGATACAAATCCCTTAAAACCTGGTGCATCTCATTCTCACTCTCAGCAGCATCAGTAACACATTCATCTTCTGCTGGTCCAAATGCCTCACCTAACTTTTCTCCGTGGTGGCACCAAAAGGTATAGTTTGAGACAATTCCATAAATGGTCAGATGTGTAGTTATTGTTTCACGGGTACCCGACCTCCCATTGCAACACTTAATACATGGACATCTGATCTCGTACCTGCCCCTATTCCTTTGAAATGCATAGTCTAAAAATTCAGAGACTCCCTTCTTATACTCATCACTTAGTCTATTATTGACAAGCATCCAATTCTTACTTGGCGCCATTTCCTAAAACACAAAACAAATGGCATAAACTACTGAACTGGTTCACACATCAATGGACTGGTTCACACATTAATGGACTTAAAACAGAAATGCCACGAACTACATATCTAGTTCACAAACTAAAGCACAACAGTAAGTGAACTTACCTTGATGTCCTGAAACTGGACGTGGAGATTATATTGGGCCGGTTATTTGGCAGCTCCCCTCCCCTCCAGCCAGCAGCAGCTCGCCTCTGCTCCAGACCCCAGCATCGCGCTTCGCAATACGTCTCAGCTCAGCTCAGCTATGAAGAACGTCTTGTAGAGAATCAAGAACGAGGAAGATGGAGATTCTCTGTTTGATTCAAATAAATCGAGAACAATGTGGTTTTCAAATTAGGTTTATTTCCATTCTCGAAGAAAAGGGGAAGCAGTGGAAAGAGAAAGGGAAAGTAAGGTTTAGGTTTATTTCCATTCTTGAAGTCGAAGAGAAGGGGAGGCAGTGAAAGAGAAAAGTAAAGTAAGGTTTCTATATTCTAATTCTAAATATTGCCTCGCATTGTAAGAGAAGGAAAAAATAAAAGTGAAGAGAGTAGAGCGTACTTGCACTGATTCGAACCCTTGTTCTCTATAGAATTTAGATCCAAAATAAGCATGAAATCCAATTGACCAAAGAAACATTTGTGGTAAAGTTGTATCCAAAACAGTATTAATCAAATGCTAAAACGACACCCAAACCTAAAAAAGAATCAATTACGATCTTTAAAAACATAACTGAACCTATAAAGTATGGTAAGCCAACTTCTCTACAAGGGGAATCATATATCACATCAATCGGGTTATGTAGCAAAAAGTTATGATCGTCCAAAGTTTGACGAAATCAAAACATGTTTCGTTTTGTCTATTAAATGAACTCTTTTTGAAAATTTTCAGGACCACGGCGGTTTGCGGCTTAATAGATCTCGAAAAATTATATGAAATCAAAAAAAAATTTACCTCAAACGGATAACCGAGCGCAAAGTTACGATCACTTAAAGTTTGATGAACCTACAAAGCATCCATCTGGTGTCTTACACGGATTGCAATAGAGTCGCTACTAATAAAGGCCGGATGGAAGGGAATCTTATGAGAATCGACTTTGCCGAGATGGTTAAAGTAATAGCATGTTCATAATAATTTTTACCAGCTGAATGGTTCGATCAAACAACAATATAACTCAAAATCAATATTTCCTTCATTTTTTTCCAGCTGAATCTTTTAACTCGTAACTCAAAATCAGTCTTTCCTTCATTTTTTTCCAGCTGAATCCTCCTGTAGTGGAATGACACTTTTTGTAATATTTATTTGGAATTGTGTTGCACTGGTTTCTTTTTTTATACCACCAGAGTTGGAGTCGACAGTGTATAACTAAAGAAGCAGCCATCACATATTCTTTTTTTTCTCGAACCTTTTATAATATTTATAGAAATTTGAACACTTCACCTATAATACTACAAACTACATCAGTAGTAATCAAAAGAATTACAGATGTTATACATATCACATCAGTAATTAGAAGAGTTTTAGATATTTCTAACCATCCCAAAATACATGACAACCATCCAAAATGATGTAAAAGATCACAAACATCTAAAACTCCTACTCTATAGTTAAGTTTCATCCTTCCCTCTAGTAGCAAAGTCTGGTGTCATGAATCACCTCCAATCCAATTCCACTCTTCTATATCAGCTATGAATCATACCCTACTCCACACTTACATATCTGTCGATTCCATACTTCCATATCTGCCATGAATAAATGGACAATCAATGTTAGACACAAACCAAACATAAAGCACAAGATAGAAGCCGAACCCAAAAACTAACAGATTTGGACAAAGTGAATTACATACTTAAGATTGACCATTTTGATTAGTAGTCGGACTTCCATGCCTTTGTTCCATCCTTTCCATCATGGCTCTCATTTCAGAAATAACCTTGGCTTGCTCTGCTATTACAGTTGCCATGTCTGCCTTCTCTCCGTTAGAGTGTCTTAGCTGGCTTGCCAATTCTGCCTTGCTCAATGCATCTGAACCCTTCAAGTCTTTAGGCCTCAATCCACCTCCAAACCCAATGATATGTCCATGATTTTGTTCTCCAAAATACTTTTCCACTAACTCCATTGGCTCCAAATCTGGATTAGCTTCACGTGTTTCAACAAGTCCAGCCTGACAAAATGAAACAATCAACAATTACCAACTCAAGTAAATATCAGATACATACATCTAGATGAACATAACTTAAAAAATCTCATATCATACATGTCTTTCTTTTGCAGCTTGCTCTTTTATCTCACCACCGCTCTTGTGTGTCTCAAAGAACACTTGATCAATAGTTGGAGGAGTCCCATCTTTTCCACCCTATAAACATGATTTGAATGAACATGGCAGCAGTAATTACATTCCATTCACAATAATTCGGTCATTTATAACATGGCAGTTGTAATTCTAGTCACAACTGATCCAATAATTCTATTAATAACATCACATGGCAGCTGTAATTCTGTAATTCTAGTCACAACTGATCCAATAATTCTATTAATAACATCACATGGTATTAGTGGTTTCTTTTCAAAATCTGTCACAATTGAACCAACAGGTAAAAACAGAAGCACATGGCAGCAGTGATTTCATTTCAAAACTTATCACAACTGAACCACCACTTATGCTAATAACATCATAAGCAAAAACACACGGCAGCAGCACATGACAACAATGATCCACTCAAGAATAAATCATTAAACATCAATGAACCCAAACATAGTAGAAAGTTACCATTTCATAATAATACTCTCGATTAGGCTTGCTTCCACTATGATGATTCATAGATTTCTTCATTCTATTCAGCGCATTATTCTTGCTCAGTTTCTGCATTGTGAGGTAGGGGAAAATTAGAGCTTCTTATCTCATCAAATCATACTAGTTGCAAGTACATATTATCAAATCATATTAGCTACTTTTGGTAACAACCTGAAACTCATCAGTGTAGAAAACATGTTTCACACACCACTCCCAATCTTCTTGACTACCTACTGCATCTGGCTTGTTTTTCATAGCCTCTTCTTCATTGCCACATGGTTTTGCATATCCACGATACAAGACAGACCTCCATTTGTTCCAACGATCACGCATATGCAATAAAGTATGATACTTGTAGTCTATCATATTGGGATTATAGAAATATTCCTGCAATCATTAAACTTAGATGTCTTTAAACACTCAAAAAACATCAATTACTCATCATAAGACACAATCACATACTCCTCCTTACCGTAACTGCAGCCCACATGTGTTCAAGTTCTGCCCTACCCTTCGACTTCCATCTCTTTGATCTAAATGAGCAAATCTGGGGATTGCGAACAACCAATCCAATAAAGCTTGACCAAGTTGCCCTATTTGCCCCAATACCACGATTGTTGTAGAAGGAAATTGGCAACTTTTCTCCACGCCTAAGTCTAGCAACTGCCTTACACATGCTTCTCCCTCGTACATTCTTTTTTCTAACTGCAATGTCAAGAGATAGAAAAAAACCAGCAACAACGACATAAAAAATAAGCAATAATCATTGCATAATCAACAAACAAATCACCTAAGGGCTCTCTTACCCTTTGAGAAGCTGCAAATTATGAGTCGATAGTTAATAATTTCATTCCATTGAATAGTATAACCTCATGGAGAATTACATAAGTTGCTTACCACTTTTAGGTGTTGTTTGTGGGATGGGAAGAGATGTGGAAGACACATCTGAAGATGATGTTAAGGTGGAGAAAGCCGATGGTCGATTTTGAACCTTCCTCCCAAGTGAGCCAGGGGCAACATATTTTGCTGGAGCTTTTTTGGTAGCTTTGCTGCCACTGTCACGAGACTGGCCAGTGTTTTGAAGGTTCTGACCACCCTTTGCCTTAAGGTTCTGATTACGGTTCACCTTTAGATTCTGAGCAGCCTTCATTATGTATTCTACAACACAAAAGAACAATAACGTAATGATGTAACTGAACAAGGATAATGTGAAATCAACAAGCCGAGATCTAATCTCCTCAAAATAGAACAAATATAAGAACTCAGTACAAATACAAAATAACTAATCCCTCAAGTTGGAATGGATACTTCTTTCATCCCATTTGTGCTAAACTGCTGTGTTCCAATTGCATGCGTTTAATTCGAAGACATAAAGGGTTAAAGGGACACCCAGCTTCAGGGGAGAGAAAGGGGATGTATGTATATAATGGATTTCTTGTCCAGCTCAAACAAAGAGATTAGAATGGGAACATACCTCAGCTGCAAGCCTAGAGTAATCTTCAGGGCATGCAGGGAGAAGAAATTTCAAATGGAATGTTGAGCGTCGGATTGGAGAGATTGTGTACGCAGAGAAAGTGGATGAGGATGAGGAGGTTGTGTACGCAGGGAGTAGGAAAAGGTAAAACCTTGTTGATCTTCCCCTTTTATATGGTAAAGAAATCGCGGGAGAGTTGAGAGCAAAATTACCGAGTTTAGTGGAGCCAAAAGTTTCGATTTGGAGTGAACAAATTTGGGGTTTGGCGCCTAGAATTTCGGTAGAGAAACTTTTGGGGAAGAAGAGAAAAGAACGCGGGAGGAAGTTTTGTGGGAGGGAGTTTTCAGGCGGGAGGAAGTTTTGTGGGAGGGAATTTTCAGGCGGGATAAAGTTTTGCGGGAGGGAACTTTTGGGCAAATTTTTGCGGGAGGGAATTTTTCAGGTGTGGTAATTTTCTCATGAAGTTCCAATTAAGTGTTCAATTAAGCACTTTCCAAACGAAGTTCTAGTTAGGCAATTTTCATGAAGTTCCAAATTTCCAATTATTGGTTCCAAGTTAAACTTATCTCAAAGTTAATTGTCCCAAGTCAAACGTGTCCCAAATTAAAAATCTCAGGTTAAATGAGTCCCAAGTTCCAATTAGGAACCAATAAAAAAAGTTCCAATTAGGCAATTATGTGAATTATTATGGAAAAAAAAAACATTTCTTAAGTTCCGATTAGGCAATTGTGTGAATTACTATGAACAACATTTTTTATAGGGAGCCGAATTTTCATTCATCATTCATATTATTTCTCATTTAGATATTATTTAAAATAATATATAGCAATGGTCATGGTAATTAACCGTGACTAACAATTAGACACGGTAAATGAAGCCTCAAAATTGTTAAAATAATTCCCGTGATTAGAACTACACAATCAATTACAGGATATTTTACTGTGATTATTAGCATATATCTAAGTACGGGAAAACTTACCGTGAATAAGATACCGTGACTGAAAACCAATTTTCCTGTAGTGTATGTTGATTCACACTTTTAGTCAAAACATTTTTGGCACATCCTAGTAAAAGAGTCTGCGAAATCAAACCAAAGCATAACTTATGGATGATTAATAATATATAATGTAATTAAACAACATACAAAAACGCCAAATAAAATTACAATCACAAACAAAATAGAAAAGGAAGGAAATTCTTCTTCTTCTTCTTCTAGTTGTTACTTCCGAGTTGCTCGTTCTTTTCCAAGATATTGACATGGAAGCCATCTGGAAATGCTAGTGCGGGGTATCGAACGGGTATCTAACTTTTGAGTTTTGTAGTCCTCTAACTTTCGAGTTTTGTAGTCCTACTAACTTCAATCTAATAGTTATAATTTGGAATTCTAATTGTTCATATCATAAATAGCTATAAAAAAAAAAAAAAAAAAAAGATTTTAGAGAGCGCTGGGACTTTGAGTCTTTGACTAGACTAGCGCGAAATTTTCAAGGGTCATTTGCCATGTGGGGACGCGTCACATCGGCAGTCGTAGTTGGAGGGCGTAGAAAGGGTTTATTTATTACGGCAGGGCTGAATTTTGTGTCACGGTGGCCGGTGGATTGATCCATTTCCGGCGACTCTCGCCGAAGACCATCTATGGAAGCTTTTTAAGCTATTGTTAGTTTTTAGCTTATGCCGTTTATGCTTCTCTGATGTCATGAACCAGTTGCTCCCAATAACTCGAGTTGTTGGGAGAAGGTTATGCGGGATCTTATACCACTCTCTAACACGCCCCCTCAAACGAAAGTCAACTCACGGGCTTGAAGTTTGCACAGGCCCACCATACCATGTGCTTGAAAGACAACGGTTAATATTGGGGGTCGTGGAGATTCGAACACATGACCTTTCGGTTCTAGGCTCTGATACCATGTCATAAACCAGTTGCTCCCAATAACTCGAGTTGTTGGGAGAAGGTTATGCGGGATCTTATACCACTCTCTAACATCTGACAAGTTTCTGACTTTTTAAAGTCTATCTATGTACTGTAGCAGGCAAGCCGGTAATCATCTAGAACTGAAAATAATAAACCGTTTTGACTAGGACGGATACAAATGTCAACTAAACTAACATCAACAATTGTTTTCTTCGATCGATGACAGCAGCTTCACGTAATAGGTATAACACAAGAGTTGGGCCAGGCCCGAAAGCTCAACAAAGACATAAACCACTATCAAATTACCGCAGACCGGGCCCAAAGTCCCAAATGATATTCCGATTAGAAGGCAAAAAAGCAGGCTCCAATCCCCCTTTAATTACAGAGGACTCCGGTCTCACTCCGGCGACCGGCTCTGCTTTTTGTTCCCAAAGTGGAGGAGCTGCTTCAATCTAAAGGAACTTTCTGGCCTAGCACAATTCCAGACTACGAACGATTACAAGGTGCTTATAAGGGAAGTTGTGATTGTTGGCTTTCACCAAGTAATTAAGCAGTTTATGAATATGAGTAAAAGCCAATGATCTTTGTAGTGCATTGACACTCTTTTGATCTCTATTAAGCCTTTTAAAAATTTGGGTTTTATTATGTTTGATTGTGGGCTATGACAATTTATTTTTTTCTATATGATGGCCATTTTTCACCTTTCTTTAAAAATTTGAATGGAATGTAATTGAGTGGATAGACCTAGAGCTGCAAATGAGCTCAACTTGTTTCTTAACGAGCGGAGCTGGACCGAGTTTTGACCAAACTAGAGCTTGACTCGATAAGGAGTTCATGAGCTCTACTCTAGTTCGGCACATCAATCAGCTCACGAGCTCAGCTCATTTATAAGTCTAACTAGTTGAACACTTAAATTAAACTAAATAATTTATGAATTGAATAACCTAATATTTTTCTGTCATATATAATACACGTGGTTAATGAAAAAAAAGAATAATAGTCAACTTTCATCACTAATTGATCCCATGTTTATATACTATCTTGGTGTAATATAATTCAGTTCATAGTTTTTAGTCAATTCATATAATATTATTTAATAGAGTTAATACTTCCATATGACATGAACTTTTTCATTCTTTAACATCCTAGCTAATCTGTTCAATAATTAATATCGTAGCAAACAATGTCACACATGGGACAGACGGGCAAGTTCTATTGGCCTGGGATCTCAGCACCAAGGAGTTTTCGATCCCTATCTAGCAAAGCACCTTGCTGCTAGGTGATCCTGAAGTGGTGATTCGGCATCTGGACCGTAGAACAGTGGAAGATTCGATAGGCGGCTCACTACTCCAAGAGTGTCATCGGCTCCTAGTTTCATGCTCTCTTTGTATAGTTTTTAGTGTGGTTCTGCGGACTGCCGACTGAGCTGCCCATAGAGTGGCACCTAAAGCTCTGTTGCTGTCCTCTTTAGAGGTAGCGTCCTTTGATTTTGTAGGGTGGCTTCACTAAGTGTTGCTTTGGATGGGGTTTTGGGTAGAGGTTTCTAACTATTTTTTCTCTTGTCATTACTTGGAAAAAAAAATTACTTAATTGGCCAAAGCCAAGTATTGACCGTCATGTTGGACTATCAAAATCGTTGCCTAATTGTCAATTAACCCACCATATCACCGCCTAGTCAGCATTAACTGACTTAAAAATTAAAATATTCACAATTTCCACAAATTTTCATCCCTACTTGGAGCTAGCACATTAATTAATTTGCTCCCCTGATTCTTCATCAGCATTTGGGTCATGCTCTCTTGAAAGTCCACCTACCAACACCTTAAGTCAACCTATCCTCCCCTCCCAGTTCACTTTTTTCTCGAAGTATATCGAAAATAGATATCATTTTGTAGAACACAACAAACTTGTTCCATCTTTTAAAAAAATGAAATCCGAGTTAGAACAAAGATAATAAAAGTCAATACAAAACACTAGAGAAAATAAAAAGACTTTAATTGCCAACTGTTAAATTTGGTACCAATTAAATTTATGGAATATTACAAACTTCTACTAACTATGTTTAACAAATATGTGATATCCACATTAGCAAGTGTCAATAAAACGCTACGATGAAAAGAGTTGACCATGATATTGACAGCCAACTAAATACTTGGTCAAAAGCTATCCATGATCATCTATATAGGGCCAAACCATAGACTGTATTTTATAGACATTTTATTTACTGTCCTACATTTCGTCGCCGGAATCCAGTCTTCGGTCACCGAAATATGCTATTTGTTGACGAAATCCTCCCACAGTCGTTGGAATATGCTCAATGTCGTCGGAATATACTTAGAGTCGCCGAAATCCGATCACCATGGTCAGAATATGTTCACCGGCGTCGGAATCTAGTCATCGGGGCCGGAATATGCTTATCAGCGCCGGAATCCGACCAATGACAGCCATCGGGGCTTGCTCTTGGTTGATCAGGCAACGACCACCGGATATTATGTTATGCATTGTGAGATTTATGATTTGATTTCTCGTGTTTTTTGTTTGCCTTTTGTGGTTTGCTTTATCGTGTTTATGGTTTCATTAAGAAGTTTCTGGTATGATTTCAACACTTTGAGGTTTGCTTTGCGGTGTTTCGAGTTTGTTTTAATATATTTATGGTCTGCATTAGAACGTTTCTGGCTTATTTTTTGTGGTTTGCTTTACCGTGTTTGTGATTTGTATTTGGAGGTTTTTGGTGTGGTTATAAAATATTTGTGGTTTGTTTTAGGTGATTTATGATATGCATGGGGAGGTTTCTGGTATGCTTTTGTGGGTTTTTTACCGTGTTTCTGGTTTACATTAGGAAATTTCTGGAGCGCTTATGAAAGATTTGTGGTATACTTTGTGAAGTTTTTGTAATGATTTAGGAGATTTGTGGTATCATTATAAGGTTTTTGGTGTGCTTGAGAATATTTTTTTTATGATTTTTCTGGTACGCTTTAAAAGATTTGTGATTTGTATTAGAAAGTTTACGATGTGCTTTATAAATGTTTCTAAATTTTTTTTTTTACTTTCTCATACCATAAAATGCAAATCATACATACTAGAAATGGTACAAATAACCATCAGCCATCTCAGGCGTTATTGGCTTGTCTCTGGCACCAAAGACCAACTTGAAAAGGCATCATATAAGCCTCAGCCATCTATACCTCTTTGCATCAATTAAAGTGGGGTTAATTGCATACTGGGTGACTGAGATTACAAAAAACGTTTATGTTTGGTCATTAAAAATATTAAATCCAATTTTGGTCACTCAAATTAGTTAAATGGTTCAAGTTTGGTCACTGTCCGTCCAGCTAGTTAACTTTTGCTTATGTGGCAGTCAACTTTTACAGTTGACTGTTAAATGTGTGACATATAAATTAAAAAATAATAAAATCAATTTAATTTAATTTTTATATTTTCGACCTCTTCTAACCGATAAGGGATGTGAATGCTGACCGACCATCACTCCCCCGCCATCCTCCAATTCTCCTAGCCACCTTCCTCCGACGCGTTCCGCCAAGATCTCACCGGATGTCTCACCTAGATCCTCCATTTCAGTACCAACACCTTTTCCCCCTTCTTAATCAACGCCTACCCTTACTTCGCTTACAAGGCCAGTCCTAACTAGGTCTCTCGATTTCATCTTGTTCCAGCCCAATCAAGGAGTAGGGGTCTACATGGGTCGGGTGGTCCGGGTTTAGGCATTTTAATCACCCGACCCATGCACTATGGTTTGGGAAATATTAAATCCAAAGCCACCCAAAAAAATTTAAACCCTACGATTTGTTTCTAATTGGGTTGGGTTGACGATATTTTATGTAAAAATCCAACCCAACATAAAATATGTAATTATTCTACACCATAAAAATATTTTAAAACTAATTAAAAATTCAAACGAATAAACCGAGGTGAAAGGTATCAAAATTCACAAATGTTGTTTGTATTTTAATAAAATTTGAATTACTTCAACTTATGTCTAGTTTTTTTCACGACATTTGTTGAACTAGCCTATAACGGTTATAAATGAACACATACATAATATGTTAATGTTATTCTATTAAAATTGTACACAAGAAAAAAGATTACGTGAATCATAGCTATATTAAATTTATGTCTAAACTTTAAGCCAAAGAATGCATTAGATTAGGGAGACCATGAGAGAAAAACATGGTGAAATATCTTAATTTTCTCATAAGTATGGCTATATACGACATAATATTTTTTGGATACGAACTCATACCAATAATTGGAACACGGGCTGGGTCAAGTTCTACGGGTTGTGTAATCCAAAATCCAAACCCTACCCAAAAGAGGCGGGTTGTACAAAAGAAAGTTCTCACCCAACCCAAAACCTTCATTTTAGCGATAAATACGGGTGGGTTGGATCGGATTAGACAGGTGGGTCAGTTTGCGGGTGTGTTTGTTCACCCCTATCAGGGAGTGGTCAACCTTGCCTCCAATGATCGACGCCGTCCACTACGCCCTGGCCAAGCTAGGGTTCCTCAGCGCCAGGCGGCGCCAACCACCTTCCTTAGGTTACCTAATTAGTGTAAATTTCTCCTGTGCTCCGGCGCTAGTTCACAAAAACACGAATTTTCTACAAAACGTTCAAAAATCACGAATTTAATATCAGCAGAGCGTGAATTTTGAGTGACCAAAATTGGATTTAAATATTTCTAGTGATAAAACATGAACGTTTTTTATAATCTCAGAGACCAACAATGAATTTAACTCATTAAAGTGGAGCAACACCGCAAACAATAAAGAAAAGCCACTTGAATCCATGGAACTAGAGTACGTATTTATATGGAACAAGAACCGGCAATTTAATTTAGAGCCGGCGACTTGCCCAGCAAATGAGGTTTGGAGATGAGAGGTGGGAGTTGGGTTAAAAATCAGGGCCTGTGACGAAAAATTGATTTGATTGAAGCTTAATAAAAGGTTCAACAAGAAAAGCCCAATCGATAGAGAGTCTGACTTCTCTAATCTCAGCAGTCTCATGGCATATCATACTCGGACACCTCATGGCATTTCCCGACGACGCAGTTTCTGCGAGAGTTGTTCCACAACCATATGACAAAGAACAGATTCCTCGACGACGGAGCGGATTCCCTCCATTGAGTGATTTGGAGCGGCGATAATGGCTAGGAGATAGGCGTTGGCGGGAAAGAGATATAAGTTTCCAGCGCAAGGGTTGCCTCAATCACCTCCACCACACATAGCGACTCCACTCATAAGGTTTAGATCTGGGATGACATGACTATGACTAGGGGTGAGCAATGGGTTGGTTCATACCGGACCATACCGAATCGAATATAATATGGTCCGGTCCTATGAATTTTAAAAATACTGAGGAAAAATGGACCAAAGTTACATTTGGACCAGACCAAATGGACCAAAGCAGATCAAATGCACTATTGATCCGATCCTTGGTCCTAAGATATCTTTCACTATTTGGTCTGATCCGGTCTAGATCGGACCGATGTCCACCTCTAGCTATGACCTGAACGATTTATGACCGGATCACAAAATTCAAGTCTCGAAGACGGCAAGGGAGGTCTTCAGAGCTCGGGGCGCGAGGGTGGATGTGGGGAGGGGCGACGCCGACAGGGAATTGGAGGACAGCATAGAAGACGCTCTGGCCGCGGGTTTAGAGAGTAAAGCTGTGAATTTTAATTGAAAATATTTTATTATTATTATTATTATTATTATATTTAATTTATTCTTTACCCTTAATGAATCTTACATTAACAACACTAAGGGTGTTGTTATAGTATCCGCTCCCCTATAGAATATCCAATAAGCTAGATTTTAACTTGCGAATAAGAGGATAAAATACCTCGGGTACCATTTAAGTTTCAGAATTATGGTAGACATACCACTTAAGTTTGAGTAGGGCGTCGGGTACCACTGAACACTATTATTTGTGCACCCGGTACCGCTAAAGCTTAATGTTAAGTGCATTCTTTTAACTAAATTTCTTAATTGATCCTTCTACTTTTCTTATTGTAAAAAATCATTTGACTTATCAAAAACATCAATTTTTATTATTTAATTGGTATCATCTTTTGAAAACTTGATACCAAATTAATTTTTAAATAGAAAATTTAAAATCAATAATTATTATAAGCATTTTTAATTATTATATATTTTTCTTATAATTGAATTATTCTCTTTTTTTTTTTTTTTTGAAGATTTTGATACCAAACCAATTTTTGAATAGGAAATGTAGAATCAATTATCATTATAAGTACTTTAAATTACCATTATGTGTTATAATAATTGAATAATTTGTGTAAGAAAATATATCCTATGAATTCTATATCGATAAAAATAATCTGAGGATGTTATATTTAATTCTCGTACATCATCTGCATGTTGTATAATTTTTTTGGTTACTTCCGTTCTATTTTCGTTCTAAATTTTCTTCAATTGCTGTAAAATGTTTAATTCTTTCTGAATATGTTCCATTTATCCTTCTTTGGTCTTGATGTATTGATGATCGGTTAGATTCTATTTTAACTATTTTTAATGGTACTTCTTATCGGATTAGCAATTTAAATAGATATTCTAATATTGATTTTAAATATTTATTATTATATTATATATATTTATTCTTCTTCTTGATATTTGTTTATTATTTTTACTACCTTATCTATTTTATTGAAAATTTTGATTAGTCATTTTAGTAATATTATGTTTAGAAGATTTTTTAATTTCAATATTAGATAAAAACTTGTTCAAATATGGTTTTGGATGTTTTTAAAAGTTTTGGGTACCAAAAATTAATTAAAATTTTGAGTTGGATGGAAAATTAGACGGATGCACATTTTGGAGATTTTAATAGTATCCGACGCCCTATTCAAAATTAAGTGATATGTCTGCCATAATTTTCAAACTTTAGTAGTACCTGATGTATTTTACGGTAAAAAGAACTCTATAGTTCTTTGGGTTAAAGACACATTTGGTCACTGAGATTACAAAATTGGGACATGTTTAGTCACTAGAAAAAATTAATATCAAATTTGGTCACTACAATTACTAAAACTGGACACATTTAGTCACTCGCCGTTAGTCTCCGTCCAACTCCGTTAATGAAGTCCGTTAAGTGATGATGTGGCAAACAGAAATGCCTAATCAGCCGGATATAACCCAACAAAAATAAAACCCGACCCGCCACGTCATTATAACCCGCCACGTCATTAAAACCAACCCAACCCAACCCAATCCATGACCCAACTCCACCCAACCCTTCTTCCTCCTTCCTCTCACCTCCTTCTTTCCCAATATAACCTGATAAACCAACAAAGCATGTACAGCCATTTTCCACCATGTAAGGTAAAAGTCGAATCCTCGCAAGAGTTCCCTTCCCTGTTAGCAGCCTCTAATAAGAATATTCTAACCTTTCATGATAACTGGGCCTCTCAACCAAAGCTCCGCTCTCTGGCCAGGACCCAGAGCCTCCCCTGTTTCCGGATCCACAACCTTGGCCTCCAGATTCTCCGAGATCCGACCCGCCGACCCGTAGTTCTTCATTTCCTCCGCATCCATCATTCTCGTTCCCCCTCCCCCGCTCTCCGTCAACCCATATCCCTGTCTCCCACAAAATTTCAATCACACCAACCAGAAAATTTCAACAAAGCTTCTTCAATTCAATTAGACTGTATATATATATATATACCTGGATGATGTCCATGTTGGGGAATTTCTCCTTGAACTTCTCAGCGACATCCTTCCCGAGCGGAGCCCCGCCGCAGCCCAGTACCAGAAGCGAGCTCAGATCGTACTTGCTGGTCAGCTCCGACTTCACCATCCCCACGATTAGCGGCGGAGAAACCGGCATGAATCGCCGACTCCTCCCAGGAGGTATTGTGATTTGTCGATTTTCGGAGGTCCCCAGGAGATTTGAAGGGTTTGGTATATATACACGTCGGAGGTTCGTTCAATCGAGGGAGGATGGAAGCAGCAGCTACGGCTTCTGTGGTCGTTCAATCGTCCGGCGTCGGGTACTCGACGCAGTCGGCTTATGTCAGTCGATTAGGGTTTCAGTGTGGTTTGCGGGAGGAGGTGGGAGGAAGGAGGAGAGCGGCGGTGGTTTTGGGGAAAGAAGGAGGTGAGAGGAAGGAGGAAGAAGGGTTGGGTGGGGTTGGGTCATGGGTTGGGTTGGGTTGGTTTTAATGACGTGGCGGGTTATAATGACGTGGCGGGTCGGGTTTTATTTTTGTTGGGTTATATCCGGCTGATTAGGCATTTCTGTTTGCCACATCATCACTTAACGGACTTCATTAACGGAGTTGGACGGAGACTAACGGCGAGTGACTAAATGTGTCCAGTTTTAGTAATTGTAGTGACCAAATTTGATATTAATTTTTTCTAGTGACTAAACATGTCCCGATTTTGTAATCTCAGTGACCAAATGTGTCTTTAACCCATAGTTCTTTCTACCGTACTGTCAGATCCTATTGAATAGATACTACTTATTCTAGTTTGTTCATTTGATCTAAGACACGCAATTGGAATTTTTTTTTCAGTTTTTCTTTAATCGTTCATATTGATGAGAACTAAGAAGTCAAGTTTCATTCAAATTAATCACTTTGACTAACAGTTTTTACATAAATTATAAGTAAAAAAGCAGTAGGAACTAGAATGAAGAGTGCAGTAGCAATAAATGCGAGAATATTTACTTCCATAATTGACATATGCTAAATTTCGGACAAGTTTATGATTTTATAAAGTTTATTTATGGACTGGGCTGGTCGGTAAGCCGGCAATCATCGAGAACTGATAATAATAAATAAAGCGTTTAAACCGTCCAATTGGGCCAAGGTTACTCCACGACGGATAAATAATTGGTATACGTAAGGGTGGGGAAATTGAAATGACAATAGAGTTGGGCCAGGCCCGAAAGTCTAAAAAGCAAAAAAACCGAAGTCATAAAATATAAACCACTAACTAATTACCCCAACGTCTGGTCCCAAAGTCCCAAACGATTTTCCGACTCGGAAAAGGTAAAAAGGCAGCCGCCAATCGCCCTTTAATTACAGAGGACTGCTGTCTCACTCCGGCGACCGGCTCTGCTTTTTGTTCCCAAAACTCCACCTCCTCGTCTACTCGCAGCTAGCAATGGCGACCCAGATTTACCACCGCAAAAGGAAACCAATTACCTCCACCTCCTCTCCGTTCAGCAAACTTGATGTGGATCTCCTCTTGGAAGTGCTTATTCGGCTCCCGGACCCTAGATCCGCCGTCCGATGCAAACCCGTCTGCAAGTTGTGGAACTCCCTAATCTCCGCTCCCTACTTCGCCCCCCGATTCCTTTCCCACCACCCGATATCCGCCGCCGGCGAACCCAAACCCCCTTCTCTGACTCCCCCCGAGCTCCGTGAATTGATCCTGAGCTTCCTCCCCTTGCCTAGCCACATCGAATCCAAGTTCGCTGTCCTCGATTCGGCCAAGGACTTGCTCTTACTCGGTTTCCCTCAGGGGAAAATCGGCGACCAATTGCACACAACGTACCTTATCTGCAATCCGTTCACCAAGCAGTGGGTCGCCCTGCCTTTAGCGCCTAAAGAGTCGGCGCGCTGTAGCTCGATTGTGAAATTAGTGAGTCAGCCCTGCAGTAATCCCCCTGCTCCAGATTTTGTCCCCGATGGTGAAGCTCTGTTCCCCTGTCATTTTGGGTACCGTCGATTCCGGGTGGTACGAATGTACAAATTGTGGAAATTAGCTGATACAATGCCAGTAGAGGTGTTCTGTTCCAGATCTGGCAGATGGACGAAATTGGTTCTCCCTGTTCACGAGGATTTAAGGTGCTGTATAGATCACGGCCGTAAACGGGTGCTCTCGCTCAATGACAAATTGTACTGGTTGAATCGCCGGGGGAGAGTTGCCAAGTTGGATCCTTTCTGCCTAGACCATACTGTTAGGAAATTCTATTTCCTATTATGATATGAGCCACATATTTTACAATTATATGGGCTATTTGGTTATGTGGGCTAATTGAAAGTGATCCAATTAGGAGCCCAAAGACTCTTGCATTGATATGGGCCTAAATGAGTGGAAACCCAATACTTGTTCACGTTGGGTTTTATGGGAGCCCATGTGAAACTTGTATATAAAGGTGCTAGAGGTTGTGGTCCCCAAGACACCAAGACCGAACACTCTCTTATTCTCCCCATCAGGAAGATCAGAAGTTTCCCGTGAGTGGACTAAGGAGGCTTGGTTAAGGAAGATCACGCTACCTCCCGTGTCTTGCTCTTAGAAGTATCGTCCGGCCAAAGTTCGTCTTTCAGATTCCGCATCAAGATTCGGACGGTCTACATCGTGAAATCAGGTAACTCTATCAACCTTTGATAATCTGAAAAGATGATGAATTCCGGGGAATTACTTAGAATATAGTAAATTCTAACAAGTGGTATCAGAGCCATTCATCTCTGTTTGATTAATTGGGGTTTTGGAATTCATGTTTGGAGCATGTTTAATTTGGTTCTATGTTTCCTTCTTCTCATTTCGTTGACATGCTTTGTTTGACTCGAAATTGTTTCATTTGCAATCTCGTGTAGTCAATTATATTCATATTGGGGTCGTTTGGATTCAGAAAAGTGGGTAGGGATTTGGCCCAAATTCTGGCCCACCCAGGAATTTAACAAATTTTCTCGTTTGGATAGCAATAAAAATGGTAGAGATTTGGGCCACCGAGATTTTTAAATCCGGCCCACTCGAAAATTAGAAATATCTGCTATACCCCAAGTATTTTAAAATTCTGCCCTATTTTTTTTTTGTTTCTTCCCACCGTATCCCTGCGTAGCTGCGCAGTGCCCAGAGCAATCTCGCCAGAGTTGGACGCGAGAGAGAAGGAGATCGGAGAAGACGACGCAAGCTCTCCGACCACCACCGCATCCTCCTCCACCGCCGCCCCGCCACATCTCCTTTCTCCTCTTCTTCCGCCGCACTCTGCTCTTCTTCCCCTGCATCGCCTCGGCTACGACCGGCCCAGCAAAGCCGTCGATTGGCTCATCAAGAAGGCCAAATCGTCCATCGACAAACTGGCCGAGCTTCCTCCCTGGCATCCCACCGCCGCCGCCGCCGAAAGCGCTAATGACGAGGAGGGTTTGGAATCCGAACACAACCCCAGGGAACTGGGCATGGCAGAGCAATCGGAGTCCTCTGGCTATGGCTTTTAGCTTCACCGGCAATTGGGAGGCGAGAACGTCGGCAACCACTCCGCGCCGCCGTCGTTCCTTCATATAGATCCCGACAGGATTCCCGAGACCATGAAATCCTTCTTCCCCACCAGCTCGACCACCTTATCCATGAATTTCCAGAGCTACCCACCCGATCTAATGTCCAGGACAGCCAATCACAGCGAGGATCTGGGCTTAACGCTTCACTCGTTTCAAGACTAGGCCCTGATTCCCCACGCCCAATCCCACCAGCAGCAGCCGGATACGGGTAATACCCGATCGAGTACCCACCACAGCCTGTTCGAGACCGGGTCGGGCGGGTTCGATGCGAATTTCCAGAGAATGGTGGCTTGGAGCGCCGAATCGGGCGGCGGGAGCAGAGGCGACGGCGGCGGCGGTGGAGTGTTCGTGGCGGTCTCTCAATAGCAAGGGAGGAAGAAGGCTCGATGCAAAGATAGGTAGGGTGTTAGGGATTTGGGTCAGCGAAGAAGAAAGGGGCAAAACAGGTACTTCAATTTTTCATTAAAATTTAAAATCCCTGATGACAAATTCTAAATCCATTATCAAACAGATAATTTGGCCAAAATCCTACATTTAAATTATCTAGGTTTTTAATTAGGGATTTGGGCTTAAATCCCTCCTTTATACAATTCTTGATCCAAACAACCCCATTAAGTTTATATGAATTATATGTTGGGAGAAATTTTGGTTCCTTTTTTTTTTTTTTTTTTTCCTTCTGTTGAATCCGGAATTGCATATAATTGCATGCTACTGCTCTCAATCCATGGACTATATGCGCTGGGAAGTGGGATGCATGCAGCTGTTCATTTCTTTTGGTTCATAATTAGAAGTTTTCAGTAACTGGGATGGGGAATTATTATTATAATAATTTTGGTCCTTACTGAAAGGTTGAACTATTATTATCATTATTATCGAATTTCGGTTCAGGTTAAGAAAATAAGGTTTATCAGCAATTTGATTGATCATTAAGTGTTTTCTTCTCGGTAATGATGCGTGCTACTGTTCATGGTGTTTTTGTTTGTCCCTAGGGAATGGAGAATGCTCTCCAGAAATTGGAACTAAAATGAAAGCATCAACGTTCATGGTCATTTTCGGTTGTGCTATTTCTTACCCGTTGGAATTCTATTTGGGTTAAAATTCATTAAAGTTTCGGTAATAAGGATGAGGTATTAAGTGAAATTGTAATTATTTATTTTTGCCTCTTACCGTAAGCTTAATTTAAGGGGCATTTCTATTCGTCGCCCTAAAATTTCTTATTCGTCGCCCTAATTAAGTTAAATTTACCTTAATGTCCTTAATTCATTTATTTATCTTTCAAATAATGAAACCCAAAACAAACTCATATACTACACCAAAACAGACCTGGACCGGTCGGATGCCTGCCCAACCAGACAGGTTAGATACCCGACTGGACCAGAGAAGGGCATGTTCTGTACCTGCCGCTGGAAGCGCCGGACGGGTTCAAAACTTGTCGCCGGCTAGCACGGGACAGGTTCGATCTGTCCCCAGCTCGCCGATGACAAATTTTCAACCCGTTCGACACCTACTGCGGACCCCTTTGATGGAGTGCTTCTACCTCGTCCTTCTTCTTCGTGTTCTTCTTCCTTCTGCTCGCCGCCAATAGAAGGAGTATTGTGGTGGTGGGCGACGGCCTTCTTCTTAACATTTTATTATTGGTTTGAGTTTGCAATGATAATTGGCTTAACTCAATATTAGGCGGCACCCTCCTTAATACTTTATTGTTGGTGACTATCTTTCTTCTTAATACTGGCAGTAGAAAAAGAAACAATCTGGTTGAGATGGGCACTGCCGGAGATAAGAATCCGGCTATGGCAGCAGCGGTGAGAGGATGGAGGAGCTCGGCTCGATCACCGCTGGGCAGGAATAAGAGATTTTTTGTTTAGGGTTTAAGTTGAAATTGGGCTTAGGGATAAGAATGTCAATTCGGTATATTTTAGGGCGATAAAATTTAAATATTAGGACGACGAATAGCGATTCAGTAATTTAAGGTTTTGGTGCAGGTTAACAACTATTATCAAAAAAAAATTATCTTTCGGTTAGTTGTATTGCTCCATTATGAAAGGTTTCAGTATAATAATAGTTATAATTGTTCTGTTGCGGAAGGTTACAGAATTAACTATTATTATCTTCCGTTTAAGGGTAACGGAAGTGAAAAGATTAATAATTCAGTCTTTCGGTTACGGGAGCTTATTCCCGTGTTTATGATTTCCATAATAATTATTATGTTCTCATTCGGTTACGGAGAGTTTTTTTTTTCCGACTTTGGTTGAGGTTATAATAATTATTATTAAACCAGATAATTAATTAAGTTTGTTGTCATTAACTGGGATAGTAAAAACTTTTTTTTCCTTTTCCATGAGTTGTCTATAAGATTTGGTATCAGTTACGGAAATTGAGCTGAGCTGAATCTATCTTTCAGCTTTTCGGTTGGAACTCACATATTCTAACGATGATGATTATGGTTCCGTTACGGTTTCAATAATACTAATTATTTATGATCGGTTACAAATGTGAAGTATTTAATTATTACCTTCCCGATATTAAGTATTTTTTTTTAATTTGTATGATAATGATTGTTGGCTTTTGCCGTGACTAGTAATTAATTCCTACAGTTAAGTAAAGCATCATTGTGAGTTCATTATGCTTCTGAAGGGTCCATTAATAAAGACAACAACATGAATTTATGGTCTGCTTATATATTTGGCTTGGATTTTAGGGCTAGCCATAATGATTTCATGATTTTTTTTCGCCACTGTGTGATGGTCGTTGGACTATTAAAATGCACTTACAGTTATTTTGTGCGTTTCATGCCTTGTGGTTTTTTATAAACAAGACTAGTTGTTCTCGAGGAATATAAGCCTCATTTCAGTAAACCAAATTTTGGGGTCGGTTGACAATTTTGAATCCCTATAAAGTAAAGGTTTATATTTTTGAGCCTATGAACTATATATATTCACTAGCCCAAAGGTAGGTGAATATTTTAAGAAAATCATATTTGCACAAGTAGTAATAAATGTGTGGTGATTATTCGGTTCACGTGTGAATTTTAAATCAGCCCAAAGGTAGATTTATTGTTTCGCATGTTCTTGTCATCAATGTTTAATTACTGTGTCATAAGACATCACTTACAAGTTAATATTTTGTCCAAAGATAAAATATTAATGGAGTGCAAGGTGTCTTGAGATGGAGTAAATCTTTATTTATAATTATTGTTGTAATTCTCTCTTAAGGATAAGTAATCACTTATTTGGAATTCTGTGATTATGAGAGAATTGTCCTGTATTTTAATTAAATTAATTTTAGCAGTATGTTGCCAAAGTAACCTCTACTTGCGAAAAATTATTTAACTTAGATTACATGGATGTACGTGTAAGGTTATTTTATGTGGGTAGTGCTCGACCCAAAGGACGACATTATTTGACCAAAAATAATCAAGCACATTAATGGTAAATACGTGATAATTATAAAGTTGTTGTTCATGTGAATAACAGTCGGTCCAAAGATAGACTGTTGTTTGACAGAACTTATTATCAGTATTTGATCATTGTATTAAGAGTACCGCTCGCAGTTAATTTCTCTGTCCAAAGACTAAGAATAAATGTTGCATTTGGTATCTTATGATGGGTCCCCAAAATTGAATAATTTTACTGTCTTGTTTAATTACATGGCTTGATGTGTGTTTTCTTTTATCTCAATATAGTTTTTTCGTGCTTTGGTTTAAATGTTTCTGTCGAAATTAAAGTTAACTCTTCTGTTAAATGGGATGAATCTAAAGAATTTAAAGTAAAATTCAAAACAATTATTCTCGATATATAGGCATTGATCTTGCGCTTTTGTGTGGAACAATCCCTATTCTACTTCGAAAAATCTCAATGAGATTTAATAATAGCGAATAGAGATATCCAATTCAGTGTGCATGATGATCATTAAGTGCTCTATTCGATGAATAAATATGGGGCTATTATACTGAGATGCCTCTGAGGTTTATTGAAGTAATAATATAGTATTTTGCCAAAACATAACAGGATCCAGGGTAAGCTGCCTATTGGGGTAATTTAATCCATAAAGTAAAGGCAAATGTACAAGTGTATTATATTTTGGAGGTGTCAAAAGAGATACTCAACACTTGGTTTAATTTATCTTCCTCCAGGAAGTTTTAGGTGAGTACTAATATTCACAAAAGAAGAGGAGGGAAGATACGAGATAAGACTGAACTCAATTACTAAACCTCAAATTCTCAGTAAAGGAACAAATAGAGAGTTAAGGATGTTATGGTTTCGTTGAACTCTTAAGGACATGGTGAGGAGTATTTCTACTTACTAGACTCCATTTGGATAAAAGCCATAAAGGTTATAACGTACATCCTTAAATTGAGTATCGAGAAAGTAGTTAATGTAACTAATACGTGCAATAAGGTACTTGCACATTTAGAGTTGTCCAAATAAGGAAAACCTTATAAGGTACAAAAGGTATAATGGACAAAAGGATACAATTAACTTATACCTTGTTGGCTACTCAAAAGCACTTTCGAGGCTACAAGTTTTATAATCTCACATCAAGAAGTTTTTTTTAATGAGAAATGAGAAATTTCTTGAGTATATTGAGTTTTGGGGGGAAGGAACCATATGGAAATGTTGGTGCTGCAAAAACTCAACAAACTCAAGAAATGCCATCAATTAAGATATCCACAAATCAGTTGTATCTTCTTTAAACATAAGGATGACGTCAGGCTGACTAATGATCAGGTTCATATTAGTCTAGTCATGCACAGTTCTAGTTCTGAAGAGTGGATTGATGCTATGTGGTGAAGTAAAAGAGATATATAAGGCACAATGGTCTCCAAAGGCTTTACTCATAAAGGAAAGCATTGACTCAAAGAGACTTTCTCTCTGGTATATTTGAAAGACTCTTTAAGGAATATAATGGCAATGGTGGCTCATATAAGCATCTCATTATTGATATCACAAGTTTTCTCATGTTATTAGCCCATTCAGATTTAGAGACTAATGTTGGAGATAATTGTGTATATCTTAAGTTCAGTGAGAGTAAATTTGTTTTCCTGTTTTATACATCATGGTTGTTCTACTTAAGGTGCAAGTAGAATAAGTTAGTAAACCAGGAGATATGTTGTAGCTAAGGGAGACAGTTTTGGTCTCAATCAGTGCCCCAATTATATATAAGAAATTAAGATACAAAATCTCCTTAATGTATACTTTAGTTTATTCTCATCCCAATAAAGCATTTCTAGTAAGAGTCTTTGGCAGATATTTGTTTGGTCTATGCATGAAACACTAGAAGGATTCAAACGTGTAGCGCGTTTACTAAAGTTGATAAAAGAATTCATGCAAATTTGTTAGAGATCAGATAATTTAGAGATCATCAAGTACTCTGACTCTGATGTTACAGGATGTCAAGGTAGCATAAACTCTACATCAGGTTACCCTTCAGTTTTGGGTAGAGTCCAAAGCATATATTGAGACTTCTAATTATGGTTGCAAAATTATTGTCACTAGAATGACTTTCGTTAGTCATTAAATGTCAACTAGACAATAATTTGATAGTGATACACTATCATTACCATGGATTTCAGAAGTCAAATATATTGACATCAAGTTCCTGGTGGTTAAAGATAAAGTTCAAAATAGACAAGTTTTTATTGAACATTAAGGAAATGACTAATGCTAGCTTATCCATTAGCCAATGGTTTGACACATAAAGATTTTCATGAGCATATTGCTCGCATGAGTGTTATTCCGGATGGTACCTTGGTTTAGTGGGAGTCATTTAAGTAGTTCAATAGATTATGACTAAATCAATTATGCAGAATAAAGTGATGGTTTTCTATAGTCTATTTGAAAATTAAAGTGCCTTCAGTTATACAGTGATCATATTGCATGAAGGAATTTCAGTTGATCTCACTAAAGACTAAAGTTGGACCAGTTGAAAATAGGCATGTTAAAGATCACATTGCATGTAATTTTCATGCCACTCATCCATATTTGATCTATGTCATCGAGTGTATTGTATGGTGATCATGGTGGTTTAGTC